TACTCATTTTATGGAAGTCTAACAAGTATACATTATTTACGTAAAAAATACTAGTAAATTCTATAACGTACGAAAAACGAATATTTGTACAGTGCCGCACAATTTAGGGGGGATAAAAGGTGAAACGACACCTATCGCACGCCACTAGAAGAAGCCAATAAATGGTTTCTGCCATATTTATGCATCCTTTAAGCTAGTAAATCTGTCTGTTGAGTTTGATAAAGAAATATTAACTAATACCGGAGCTACAGGAAAAAATAGTTTATTATTTTTAAATTTCAACGCCCTGTATCTCGAAAATGAGCCGCTTTAGGACATATGTTTATTAAGTAAACTGCTCTTATTTTTGGATTTTTTACATTTCATATCCGTTTGTAACACCTATTCATTAACACCCTGTACTTATATTCCTACAAATAGCCGCATAGCGCTTGAAATGAGCTTTAATTTGAACTGCAAATAGATATTCGTAGATTGTACTGAAGCCGGAGAAATGACGACTCAAAGTCACCTATCCCAATGAGTTTTTTTCTGTTAAAAAAATTATTTAAAAACGGGATAAGTACTGCAAGGGTAAGTATATTAAAAGTATATTTTTAATATTTTAAAGATGGTGCTTGAAATAACTACTAAGTTTTAATTTGAGCTGCAAACAGATGGGAGAATTTGCCTTGCAAGCTAGATCCAGATGGCAGCATGTAAATAACTTCTGTCATGCCTGCCGCGTTTGCGCGTTGCACACTGCTTGAGTGAGACAGAATCAATTTATAAATTAAAATTTGAATGAAATTTTTATTACATAGAAATCGTAAAGCCAAACTTATTTTTGCAAAGGTAATGAAATCACCTTGTAAGGATACTTGCAGATATAAATGCAACAAAATAATAAATGAAGAAGCTAGAAAAGTCATTTTTGACGAATTTTGGAACCTTGGAGATTATATTCGGCAGTGGGATTTTCTTTGTAAGGTGCGTGACACAACGAGAAAAAACAGGTCACTGTACAGGGTGGTTGATTTTCGATAGTTTTATAGGGTACAGCCAAAACGGTGATAGATACAAAAAATCTGATATCGATGTCCCGTCCTCTTTTTTTGAGTTTACTTCGCTGGTCCCAAAAGATCTTGGCTAACTTGATTAGTTTTAGATATACAGGGTTTTTTTGAAAAATGACCCATTTACATTAACCTCTCTATCTCCATTGTCATTCAATTTAAAAGAAAAAAGTGTGGACATTATTTGTTCTATCTTTTATTAGGAAGCCAGTGACGTACTCAGATTTTTTACAAATCGCACAGTTTTTCCGATATTACATAAACATAGGTTTTTTTAAATAGAACACCCTGTATTTGGCCATCCCTTTGAATAGCATTTTTTTTACCTTCTCAGTCATATATAATAATAGATACTTTTTATTTGCCTAAATGAAGAAAAATGTAAAAAATGTATAGATATTTTTTCAGTTGCCCATGAAATTTATTTAGTATTGGTCTCTTCGTTTTCTATTATAGTTTTTATATTAAGCACCTAATGTAGACTAAAAAATTACAAGAAAATATAAATTAGATTGTCCATTTATCTTTACTTAATAGATTTAATTATAGGTACACTTATAACTATTAAACATAAACTAAACAAAAATAACAACTATCAAATCAGAGAAACAACAATAAAACAAAAATGACATAACAAAGTCAGAGCAAGTACTCGAATTGTCGGCCATTTTCGTTGATACATAACTGACAACGTTTAGCAATGGAGCGGGTCGCATTGTAAATGTGGATATTTGACACCCGCTGAATATAGTTTTCAAAATATTCCCTTAGCTCCTCGACATTATTAGCTCTCTACCTACAAATTTTGTCTTTAAGGTCCCCCCCAAAAATAAAAGTCTATAGGGGTTAGGTCTGGTGACCTAGGCGGCCACCTGTTTGGTCGGTACATACCGATCCAGTTGTCCCCAAAATTATGATTTAATAATTCTCTAATTATGTGGGAATTATGTGGAGGCGCACCGTCATGCTGAAAGAACATGTGATATCGTTGAGCTAGTGGCATATCGTCCAGCGGTTCAATAATATTTTCTTGTAAAATTCTCACATATCTCTGAGCCTTAAGGTTTTTATCATACATTTCGTAAGCTAACACTCTATTGTGTAAGAGAGCTACCCATACATGAAAACCAAACCGCCCTTGTTGAATTCTGGCCACAGTTTGGTGAGGATTCACATCTGACCAATAACGCGCATTATGCCGGTTGAATATACCTTCGCTGCTTATAAAAGCCTCGTCGGTCCAAATAACATTCTGAAAAAAAATTGGGGTCTACATGAGTTTGCTGAAAAAACCATTGGCAGAAAATGACGCGTCTTTCTTCATCTCCTGGATGCAAATGGTGGACTTTTCTTATAGTATATGGTCGAAACTTGTGTTTTTTTAAAATTCTCAATGCTTTGAATTTACCAATTCCTATCGTTCTTTGAATTTCTCTGCTGGATATATTGGGATTTGCGACAACAAAAGCTAAAGTATTGATTTCATCACTTTCGTTATTCTGTATAATAAGATTCAGCTCTCAGTTTTTGAAAAGAACCAAACTCACACAATAAGTTATCATAGTCAAATAAAAATTCTCTTTTCTGGCTGATGACGCTCTGGGTATCTCTCCAAATATAAGTTTAAAGCTGTCACTATTTTTTTCACTTTCAATGTAACACTCCAACATTTGAACTTTGTGAAGATTTTCGTACACCATTTTTATACCTTTCAAAATTAAAACCAAGTAATAGACGTTTAACAAGCTTTCAATCAGTCAAAAATAAACTAACTGTCAATATTGAACAACAAAAGACGAATAATGAATAACTGAAAAAATCTATTATTATATATGACTGAAAAGGTAAAAAAAATGCCATTCAACGGGATGGCCAAATACAAGGTGTTCTATTTAAAAACACCTATGTTTATGTAATATCGGAAAAATTGTGCGATTTTTAAAAAATCTGAGTACGCCACTGGCTTCCTAATAAAAAATAGAACAAATAATGTGTACACTTTTTTCTTCTAAATTGGATGACAACGGAGATAGAGAGGTTAATGTAAATGGGCCATTTTTCAAAAAAAACCTGTATATCTAAAACTAATCAAGTTAGCCAAGATCTTTTGGTACCAGTGAAGTAAACTCAAAAAAAGATGACGGGACATCGATATCAGATTTTTTGTGTCTATGGCCGTTTTGACTGTACCCTATAAAACTATCGAAAATCAACCACCCTGTACATACTTAATTAAAGCAAGGTTTGTAGCGATTCAGCTTCTTTTAAACACATTAAACATTTCATTTCACCTCGTGAGAGCCAGCAAATCAAAAAATATAAAAATTTGTTGTAAGAAATATGGATTAAAAAAGTATTGTCATAGTCTTAAACTTTTCCAAAATAAAAGAGATTCATTTATATTTCTCACCTGCTCCATGGTATGGAGAAACGGTAATGTTGGACGCCTATTTTTGATACGTAATAAATGTCTGTTAACATCTTATTGTAAGAATTACAGGCGATGTCGGCAGTGGCATTAATTTTTATGCGTGAGGGATCCTCGTGAATCCAATGATCCCATATGTTCTCAGATTTTCCATCTTCGTTCCAGGCTCCTTCAATTTGATAAGCCGATGATCCTGTGCCAAAAGAAATAGTCCTTGGAAATGTTCTGGGATCCGCACTTGCAGCACTGGAATGGAAAAGTTGTTTACATTAGTAGAAATCGAAAATGCTTTACAATTAATTGCAAATAACGATTCATAATCATCTTAGTTAGAGGAATTTCAACCGCTTTTAATTTTATTACTGCGGTTGTCGCGGCTTATAACGTAAAATAAAATGTTTGAGAAACACTCGGCAAGATAAAAAAAATGATGGGTTCTTGCAACATTTGATATTCAAGTTGCATTATTAGTTAGATTTTATGATAATTAAAGTAAGTTTAAATATACTATCTATCTATCTTACTGTAACAAAAGCCGGGACGCGCAGTCATTTATTTATTAGTTCTCGGAAAGTAAGATATTTCAGTAATCATAAATTATCGGAGGGTTAATGGTTTTCAAGTAGTAGGTCGCCAAGACAGTCCTTCGGAGAAAATTATCAATATTTGCAACAAGTTCGCTTAGTCAGGGCCATATTGTAGTCATCTGGTGCGTCTGGGAGACGCCGCGTGGAACCCCATCTTTTTAATAACGCGCGAAGCCGCGAGAAAGACCGTAGTAATTCCACCTTAGAATTAAATTATGTTGTAAAATTGATAGTAATTCGAAAAGAGAGTATACCTAAGCAGCTGGGTTTTTTGACGGATTTTTCCTAGCTATAAGAGATTAAATGAGATCGACTAATCCGTCCCGTAAATTGCTACGCGGAGTCAGAGGGGAAGGCTAGGGTTACTAGTAAGTCATATAATTATTGTTATAAATGTAAATTCAGTCAATTAGATAAATATACAAGCATCCCGATATTCAGGTTCTCGCCAATAACATGAGAACCGAAACTTCTGGACCCAAGAATTGGGCGTGGTCAAAGCGAATTGTGGAATTCAGGAAGGATCCCGAAAAAGGCAGTTCGTTCTTAAGTTTCACATTGAGCAGACTAATTATTAACTTTAAAGTCTTGGGCTAATTTAATTTTGATAGTTTTTCTAAATTTTGTATAGAGCGCGCATTCCCTGAATCTCGGTACGCTGTCGCGATTGAATCAATTAATTAATAATGTCGTCGAGCCGTTGTGTTTTTATTTTGTTTGTTTGTTTTGTTTATTGTTAATAAAACCCTTCCTGGAAGTTTTGTGTTTCCTTTGTTTCTCCAACTTCAGTGCTACCCTGTATAGCCAGTCACTGGATTACATCCCACGTAAGCAATGAAAGGGTAAGTGCTTGGAAGTAATTTTCTGAACATACAACATACAACATTTCTAAGTTCCCACGTGTTAATTAAAGTATAACGATAACTAAATAAACTCCCTTTCGAGAATTAAGTAGTAACTTTTCGAGAATTAAGTAGTAACTCTTCGAGAATTAAGTAGTAACTCTTTTGAGCATTAAATAGATAATTAATAAAAGTAGATAATTAAATAAATAACCCCTCAGGTTATTACTGTACACTTAACAAAATACAGTTTTACTACAAACGTATGAATAACACAGAGCCACCAAAAACCACCAGACTATGGTATTCTTCTTCAGTCACTGAATGTGAACTGGACCTCTGTTTTGACCCTACACTTTAGTTACAGTAAATTGTTAATTTATATGTATTGTTTATCTTGAAGAGTCTTCAATAGTAGATTCCAGAGTCCTACTCCGTTCAATGCTAAACGCGGCTGCAGATAGCAAAACAGGGTATGGGAAAAACATTGGAATGAGGATCTCAGTAATTTTACTACACTATATCAGAAATCACCGTAACCTCATGAGCCCAATAACCCCATAACACTATGCAACTGGGAATTTAGTGAACAGGACAAATCAAATTATCACTACATTTATGGTTAACTAACCTTGGAACCAAGACTCGAGTATTCCCATATCCCTATAACCTTATGAAAATGGGAATGTAGTGAAGAGATTTCAGTCTCATAGGGTTATGGGGATATGGAGTTCTAGAGTTTATGGGGTTATGGTGATTTTTGACAAAGGGTCTCAAAGAGATTTCGTTCTAAGGTTAGTCAACCATAAATATCATAATCATTTGAATTTCCTAACTCTGTTCACCTCGACCCTAGTGTCATATGGTTATGGGGTTATTGAGCTCATTGGTTATGGTGGTTTATGGTAAAGAATAACAATGTTACTGCGTTCGCCATTACAAGTTTTTGGAACCCAACAAGATCGTCATTAGATACGTGCCTCCTCGTATTCTCAGAATTATGATATTATGTGGTTATAGGGTTATATTGTTATATGGGTTATGGTTAATAATCTTTATAGCCTTGAAACCCCTAACTAAAACCGTAATACCATAAATTTGAGAATACGAGGAGGCGAGTATATTCATATGAATGAATGACCCATCAAATACCTAGTTTTACTAGGTATTTGTAGTCGAGTAGTTTGGTGTTAAATGGATGTGAATCAACTATTGAGGATATTTCAAAATATGCATATAAATTAACTACTTACAAAAAATCCTGTGTTAGTGTAAGGTCAAAATAAAGGACAGAATCAGTTTTCAGTGGTGGCTTTTTTTGTGGATCTGTGTATCAATTTATATTTAAAATTGGTCTGTTAACTTTGGGTATTCAAGAAGCATATTTTTTTATACAGTAGACATCATTATTGATATTTATTAAACAGATTTGTTAAACTCTCATATACCATTTTTCTAAAAAACCAAGCATTTAATTTAAAAATAGTAAGAGAGGTTATCACAGCCCCTTGCGGACGCCTATGACTGATTTATTTTTAAACTAATTTATAAAATCAACAGAGCTTTTCATTCGTTCACTTCATACTAAATATAAAACAAATGGCTGTCATAGTTTATGAAAAAGTAAATAAAAACCAAAAAAAATCTCTAAAAGGAAGCTTTTGGAAGAAAAAGTTTATACTTAACATTATTTTGATGAGATCTATCGGTGGTTAAAGTCCTAATCATAAAAAGAGAATCACCCAGTACACAGATTTTTCCAAGGCGTTTGATTCTTTTAGGAGGCATAAAATCTTGTTAAACAAATTATCTTAATAGATACCAATTGGTATATTATTGCGGCTTTGTCTTTAACAACATTATTGCGACTTTGTCTTTAACAACATTATTGCGTCTTCTGAAGTGCCCCAAAGCTCTGTATTAGAGCCACTGCTATTCAATAATTATCTTAATGATACTACGTCTAAATTATATCGTGAAGCAGTAGGTACTATATGCAGATGATTTAAAATTATTCACTTCATTTCACAGTAATGACGACGTAATTAAACTTCAAAAGGATCTGTAATGTCCTGGCGTGAAACAAATCAGCTTAACATGAGCAAATGCAACCATATGACTTTTAGTAGACAGCTTAATCCACTAATATCTAATTATTCACTTAATAACCAGAGTATAAAAAAAGTGTGATAAATTGAAATATCTTCGAGTCATTTTCGACTCTAAACATTCTTTTGTTTGTTAGGGCTATAGAAGTTGGAGAATGCCCTGTTGGGATCTTTTGTGATCTCAGTAGGGCATTTGACTGCTTAAATCACGACATCTTGGTTGACAAATTGGAGAAATATGGAATTCGTGGCATTCCCCAGAAATGGATGGCAACTTTTATTCGAGATCGAGATCAATATGTTGCTATAGATAGTGTAACTTCCGAAATTAAAAAGTCACTACAGGGGTACCTTAGGGTTCGGTGCTGGGCTCTGTCCTGTTTCTATTATACATTAATGACAGACGAACTTTCAGGATCGGGGTTTTTCACTTTTTATGCCGATGATACGTCAGTGGTAATCTCAGACAAATCGGATAAAAAAATATCTAAGACTTGCGGTAGAGTGATATCCAGGATGAGTGAGTGGTTTAGTCAAAATTCATTACTACTAAATATCAATAAGACCCTTACAAGATTTCACGATAGACAAAAGCTTTGTAATAGTATTGATGTTAATGTTAACAATACATTAATTAATAAAACAAATCTTGTAAAATTTCTAGGATTAACCCTGGATGAGTGTCTAACTTGGAATAATCAATGTAACGAATTAGCAATGAAGTTAAATTCAGTATCATATCAATTTCGAAATATCAGAAAAGTCCTGATCTTGATCAATTATTATTGAAACTATATTACTGCCAGGTAGAATCGCGTTTGCGATATGGTATCTGTTTTTGGGGGCCACCTTGCCACGCTGATAATGTATTGGTTGCTCAAAAACGTGTAATTAGGTGTATGTTCGGAATGTCAGCTAGGGAATCCTGTAGACAGATATTCGTCTGTTAAGAATATTTTAACAATGCTTTCTGTTTAGTTGTATGAAATGTTTCTTGTCAACAAAAATCAGTTTGTCCACAGAAATCAGATTCACTCAATTGAGACACGGGTGTCTTGCCATTTTAATATAGTTTTTGGTAGGTGTAATATATCTTTCAACCCACCTAACTGTCTTGGTATACGAATGTTCAATAGATTACCTAATGATATAAAAATTTGTACCTTTGTTTATAGCTTCAAAAAGGCTCTGAAAAAATACTTGGTTGATTAATATTTCTGTTCTGTGGAAAAATATTTTGTTAATCAACTTTCTGTTAATTAGTCTTGTCTTTATGTAGTTTTTTTTTTACTATTCCTATTCAATTGTTGTTGTAGAATATGCTTCAGTTATCTGGAGCCTTTCATATAGGTACTGTGCAAAAAATTATATTGTGGGTATTCAGGGAAGATTTTTTAAATTTTTCAAAGAAACATATATTTACCCACATAGAGGTTTTCCGCAAGGTGACCTTCTTAAAAGGTTTAAGTCAAAATAAAAGAAAATGTAATTCCTGTGTGTTTTTATACAAACTATTAAATAATGGAATTGACTGTCCCCACATATTAGAAAAGATAAACTTTTATGCTCCGTCGCTGTACACTCGAAATACTTACCTTAATACCCCGCGAACAAATAAGTGTACTTAAATTTTCTCATTTGTATGAAACGTGCTCCAGTTTTAATTTACTTAAATTAGATGCGTTTAATTGTAATGTTTGAGACATTAAGTGAATGTTGCATTGTTGAAATTTCGTACTTTATGTAACATTTTTTTAAATTTTCTGTGTTCTCCTGTTGTTTTGGAATATTGTATTGTCTGTTTTTAATCTCATATGTATACATATGTACTTATACGTACTATCTTGCCCTAGATGGGGTATTCTCTGGGGCAGCGTATGTTATAAATAAATATGTTATAATGTTATAATACTACTAGCGAAAAACGTACTCAAATATGCCATTTGACTCTGCTCTAATTTTTATATTACAAGGCCGTTAACATATATGAAGCAATTAAATATATGAAAGAAATAAAACACTTACCAAAAGAGTAACATTATATTTATAGCAATACTCGTTTTATCCATTTCTAAATTGTGGGTGAATTCTGTTGTAGTAATGTAAAATGTGGTTACTGAATTTTAATAACGCGGTAAGTATTTATATATCTCTATCATGATAACTTTAAACAATATATGCTATTGATTTATCGATTACACAGGGCGATGTTGATAAGATTTTGCGAAATTAAGATTCAGGGGAAAAAATTGAGTGTTGCACTGGTTAAAGTATATTTGAACTTATTTTAATGCTTATTTCACGTAGATTACTCTTTAGAACGTTGCGTAATTTTTTAATAGAATACTAATCCGGATTAGTTTAAACCCGCATTTACATGACCGCTACATCATTCCTAGTAAATTCACTGGAAATTTATTTTTTGTTTATGAACGCGTTTCAATGAAAAAATGAAGTTGCAGTGCAGGAACTTCAACATTCAGCTCGTTCACAATATCTTGTAAGGTTCTGTCTCCTAAAATTTCATTTTTAAGTGCTGTTACTTTATTATTCCAAAGGGTTGGTTATTCTTGAGGCAATGTTGAAATTTTCGCGTTTGGTCACCTTTATATTTCAAAATGGTTGTTATTTATAGTACCAGTTCCTTCAAAAAAGAAAATGTTACAAAATGGAAGTGTTGATTACAAAAATTGTCAATTTATACTTTATTTAATATAACACAAATAGGTACACAAAAGTGGCCTGTTCCATGCATGAGAACCACGCCACCATATGTATTTGGATCGCAAGAAATCGAGTCTGTTATTAGAAATACCATTACTCTCCAGGTTTTTTTTTATTGTCAAAAACCACCCCCAAAATATAGAAATAAGCCAAACTCTCAATTGGTTTCGTCTTGAGCACGGCCCTGAAAACAAGTCAACGCAACATAAAACGCAAAACTTAAAACCAGATTAAAAATCAGAAATTTTAGATACCTATATTACGATTTCAGATTGCGGGATACTGGGGCTCAAGATAGTACATATGGTGGTGTGGATTTGATTTGTGAAAAAAACTAATGAACACCCAAGTGGGTTACTTTTAGGTTACATGCGACACCTCTCCAAAAAAATAGCGTGACTTTCTAACGATATTGTTGAATTGAGTCTGAATACTGTTAAATATCACGAGAAAGATACATTACATAATATTATTATATCGGAAAGCTTGAGTCCTGTTCTATACATCGGCTTAAAAATGGTTTTAATTAATTCTTAACAAATTCTTCATGTCTCACGTACAATAAATTGAGTTATTTGTATTATAAGTAGTAGTATTTCTATAATAATTATTTTGTTGATATGGTTATACTGTTGTTACCATAACTACTTCAAAATAATTGCTTGTATTCATTCAAGTGTAATAGAAATATGGTAGTACCTAAAATGCAGAGGTACGATACGAATTCCTACAAAAATATAGCGTACACCGTACACCTTTTCTGACTGAATATTGGTCTCACAAATGGACAGTTTTACGTTCCAGCGTAACTGGTTACTTCTCGAAGCAAATATGGTTGTTTGTGTGTGTGTGTGTGTGGTGTGTAATCAAGAAATCATTGCGGAGAGAAAAAGTAGAGTTGTTCCTATTTACGTTCGTCGTTCATTCCAGATGATCGATGATTTACTGTTAAAATCTTCACTTTTCGCTCGTTTTGGACAACATGGTGATCATATAAACTAAATACCATTTAATATTGTCTGTAAGTTGCGTTAATGAAAAAAGTCACAAATAATAATTTTTAATACCCAAATAACACAAAACGTCTTTATAGTATCCTAATTAAGTCTCGAAAATATCACATCCATAAAATATTATTGGCATATATTTGATCACTTTTTAAATAAAGCTATTGTGGGAAACAACTGTTCCCCTGGCTTACCCCCAATATCTCGCAAATAGTTAGGATCATTCATCAGGAAGGTCACCATATAGACCGATCTTGAACTTATTAGTGCTCGTCAGTATGTCATAGGAAGAATGATTCAAATATTTGGATGTCTATTTACAGAAATGTTATGAGTATTGGTAAAATATAACCTACAAAGCATATGTCATATTATTTAATGTCGTATCTTCGTTATGTCCATGTCTTCTGACGCAGAGTAATCCACTACTTTGTAGCTGCTATGACTAGTACCGTACCGAATGAACTTTTTAACTAAACATTTTGTGGGAAACAACTAGTTCACGGGCTATATTCCCCGACTGGCATTAAATTACGTCCTCAATATCTATTTACTAAGATCAATTATCAGTAGAGTCACCATATATAGACCGATTTCGAATTTATTAGTTCTTAACAGTATGCCATAGGCGAGGAAGTATATGTGATATGCCTTGTCACATCCCTAAATGGATGGATGGTATTGCCATTTTATGTCTATTTCCTCACACAAAATGAGCTCCTAATTTCTAGGTACTATAAACGCTTATATATTTCTATAAGATTTTACACGATATTTATTGCTTCTAAAAAACCTTCTTCAATCGGCCCCTTAATTTCAAAATGAGTTAAGAATGTCAATGATGTAATGAATTACTTGATGACCTAACTTCCATAACTGAAATTCAGAAAGTGGAATCTGGGGAACTATTTTAATGACTTTTTTGGATTAGTGAGTGATACTCTGAGATTAATATTTTTTAGATATTTCATTTGAGAGTCATATGAGTTAAGAAAAGAAGGCCTGAATTCATCTATTTATGTATGTATGTTTTTTGTTTCCTCTTTTCTGGCACTGGTACAAAAGACTATTTAACTAAGTAGGTACTTTCAAATCCTAAAATAGTTATTTCAATAAAAGATTATTGCAAACAACTCTTTATTGTGTGATATGTTTCTTTTTTTATATGTATATAAAAGGGCGGAGGGATCAAATGCATGCATAAGGAAATACTTTTTTATTTCAAATTAATAATCATCATAATAATATACTATATTTCCTATAATGTTTGTTAACTTTATTTTACTTACAATGAATATAAATTATCTATCAATCTACAAATAAAGAATGGAAGACAAGGACACGTACTACTAAATTATAAGCATTGAAAATTAAAACATTTTTCAGGAAAAATGAATATGTTACAGGAACGACAAATATAATAATCTAGCAAACAATTAATCGAAACATTGTTTTTGCGTGTAACTGGAAAATTCATTAACAAATATTTAGTCTAAATTGGAACTGAGATAGATGTGGATGGATATATAAACTTAATATTTACATTCAATTCAAACCTTAAAAAAAAATATTATTTTAGAAGAACAAAATTTTGAAAAGACTATTCAAACACAAATTCATTCAAAAGTATACCTATACAAATTTTTAGATATTTTAAAATTTCAATTAGCAGAATTTGCGATACTCGATATATGATAAAGACGACTAGATGCAATAAAAAATGTAACTGCACTTAATGAGCAAAATATGTGAATCATAATGGTTCTTGGATTTAAAATAATTCAAATAAAACTATTGTGCTTATTATAAGAGTAAGACACCACGTCATTATTGTAGCAGAACCAGGGGTGATAGGTGAAATTGTGGTGGTGTTCATATCACCTTCGGGTATGGTTAAAGTACGAATTACCTGTTTGTAGAAGTTCAGAGAATGCTTATTCCTCTTGATTGAACTATCCTCAACTTTGTAATAGAAACCAAACTTGTAACTGAAACAATAGTTATGAGATAATTACAAGTAACATTTTTTTATACATACTTGTACCATTTTAACTAGCGAACTCACCATTCCATCGGAATATTTGTGAGGTTAGTATGATGTGCACGTCTGTACATTAAATTGTGTAATTTGATTATCATGAGAAAGGAAATTTGCTACTCTTACATCTCAATTTGAATTACTATATGTATATGTATTGGCCGATCTTGGGCATTGAATATAAACGAATAAATATGATCTACACAAACATATTTGATGCGGGGTACAATGAGCTCACCAATATTAGTCAACTCTTACACAAACCAAATAGTTCACAAACTTTTGGAATGAGATACAAAAAATAGAATTATTCTTATATAAATGGTAGATACATATTTTTACCTGTATCTGTTGGTCCATTCAAAACTATCAAGTAAGCTATAAGCTGTATATCCAATAGTGATGGGCAAAACGATTCATTTTGATGTTTCGAATCAAATGATTCATTTCAAAGTTGAGTCGAAACTGGGAGCCGACACTTCCGACTCCCAACTCCCATGGTAGATATTGAATCGTTAAGTTCGTAATTCGCATAATCACGGTGGCTCCGTCTTGGAACGGACGGAAATAGCGGAATCTGGGCCGATTGACGAACTTTGTCGATCTTGGGCTTGACAGATAATTCGATTACACAATCATTTGTTTACTGAAACAACTGACTAAAATTGAAATTAGTTCTTTCACTGCAGTCAAGGGTCAAGGGTTACGTACTTAGTTCTTTCACTGAAATTTGTTGTTAAGGGTGTAGTACTTATTTGTATTTACAATGCATACAAAAATGCGAATAAATGCGACGATAAAGCATATATTCTCCTCAAACGTTTACAAATACAAACGCAAACCGTTTGCCACCGTTTTTTCCTGTCGATTGCGGCCATTGTTGTCCACACTCTTTACTCCCTATCAGTATCAAACGACTTGCAAATCACTAAATATTAGTGATCACGGGCACAGGTACACGCCGATCCAAATCGCAAAACAAATCTGACTCACATCTGACTCTCGGCCCTGGTGGTTCAGCTGTACACTATAACGGACTCGACAATCTACACGGAAGTCGGCACAGGTCGATCAGGATAACGTTACCTACATATTGAATCATCGGAATCGACTCTTACATATTTTGGGGGTCGACTCAGATGATCTAAGGAAGCCAAGAGTCGACTCTCTGATTCGAAACATACACTCACTAGCCAACACTAATATCCAATAACTCTTACTCCATCTTTGATAATTGCATCAAGTATTGCGTTGAGATAATCCTAAAAATGTGTAATATGTTTCAAACTATATCTACAGCTGAATAGTTTTTAGTTATATACTCGAAAATAATTAACTCTGGTATCGTCATTGGAAGGATTGTTGTCTGGTATACCATTTCCGGTAATGAATATGTCAGGATTATTGAAAGATGCTTTTAACCAGGCTAATGTTTTCCTAGCATTCCAAGGCACAATCTGAAGCAAACAAAGAGTTACACATTTTCATATGCGAATATTTCCAATTAAATTTTATTGTTTTGGAATTCAAAAGAAAAAATTTAGTGTCGACCTAAATATATTTCATATAGTCGTTTATTCCACACTGCCATTAATAAAAAATCTTTTGATTTTTTTTTTAATGTTAAATGCTGATTTTTTGTTTTTTTGTTTGTGTGAAACTAGTTCAGATCTCGAAATAAAAATAATATGATGAAAATATGGAATTATACGAATTATTTTTGATATTATAGTCATCTACGATAATGTACATTCGACGCAAGATAAAGGTTTCCAATCTGAATCGTATTTTGTTCGAAATATGACGGCTTAACATCTTGTCTATATGGGGCGTTCCCATTAAACTCGTGTGGCAATATTTTACCGTCACATCTGACACTTTTCGAGTTTTGTACAAAAATGCTTTCCTGGTAGATTGGCATTTTTTAAATGGGACTAATCGGCAAACTCTTATAGCAGACCCCGTATGTATTTTTTATTATCTTGTTTCTTTTAAAAGAGTTGCATTTACATTACAATAGAAAAATCGATTCATCCTAGTTAATAAATATTGCGAAACGTCTACTACCTACTTACGAATAGTTAGATTGAATGGATTTAAGAAAATTAATTTTTTTTTTTAATTTTGAAAACCCTGCAGCTCGGAAACGGCGGCCTTAAGAGCCTACGTGTGTGTAACAAAATTTACTTAATTTTAGTCACAGAATGGGCCTCTGTTTTTTTCTGTACGCCATTAATGAACACTGTATAGGTGCCCGCAATGAAATCAGATAAAGCATACAATTCTACATAAAAATGGCCTCTTGACTTTTTCTTGTACTATTACAATTAACAGAGTTAGGGAGGCTAGAAGTTAAGGGAAGATTTCAGAAATTTAAAAAAAATCATAACAAACAGAAAAATTAATGAATTTTGTAATTTTTTTATTCAATCTATTCTAAAAAATGTAACTTTCCTTTTCAGAGAAATACATATAATTTTTAATTTTTAATAAGAAAGTTATAACAATTTCAAATTTTTAATCGTTAATTTCGTTAATTTTAATAATGTAACAAAACTAAAACAATTTTTTTCTATACTATTCGATTGATTATTTAAAATAATGAAAAGTTGCCTTCGATTTTTTTGTCGTTTTTTTTTTAGACAGATACAAATTTATTTACCTTTTTATATTTTGAATTTTATTTAGCTCCTACGACACTGCCAGGACAAAGATAGATAATTTCGTTCGCTATTGTCAATGCGCGTGCGTCAGTAAACGTGTGATTCTTTAAATTATTGTATGCTTAATATCCAATGTTAATCTCAAAAAGGTAAATACATATTAATAAGGACTAATATTTTTTCTTTTAGCCTAAAATGGATTTAAACGGATGCAAACTAACCCTCATGTTAACCCCCAAAAATAATATTTCCGTGATAACTCGGGTTCTAATCAATATTTTGGAATGAAACAAAATGGAAATTACTTCTTATAAAAAAAATATGTATGGGCTTATGTAATGCGTCAGTTGAATGAACAGTATGACGATATTCCACCAAATAGAGATACACGCTCTGGGAACGTATACAAAATATTTGGACCGCTATAGACGTGAATTATATACGACGTCTTGTTACATCTATGCCAAACAGATTACAAGCCGTTATTGATTCGGATGGAGGTTGGACATATTATTAGACTGTTTTGTTTTTTCATTGTTTATAAAATGATGTCAAAATAAATAAATAAGTTCATAACATTATGGGCCCGGAAATACTTCCTTTCTGATAAATGTAAAATTTAAAAAAATTCTGTTTTTCTAAATATTTCGAAAACGATTTAAGATATTACACTGAGCTTTGGTGTATAGTATAGTGGCAGTGTAATATCTTAAATCGTTTTCGAGATATTTAGAAAAAACCGGATTTATTTACTTATTTTCACTTCCAGAACACGTCCTTAAAATATTTCCCTTTCCTCCCGAAATGTATAAGTTATAATAAAACTGTAGTTTACAATATTTTTCTATTTTTTTGCCTTCATGACCTACCTACCTACTTTCTGCAGAATATGACACAACTTTTTATTTCAAAATATTAATTTTCTCAGGGACAAGGAAAATAATGTGGCAATTCAAAATAATTTCAAAACCTGTACACTTTTCTCTTTTTATAATGCAAACAGGGTCGGAAAGTCCCCATGGATCATCGGCCGTTACGTGAGAGCGATAAAGAAAGTAATAGAAATCCGTGCGATAGAGAAAGATGGCTATAATGAAGACGTCTAATAGTCACCGCCTATTTCACCCTTCCACAAATAAGATCCACTTCTTATTAACTATAACTAACGTAAAAGATGTAACTGAGTGCTACATCTAGTGAGCTTTTACTTACTACAATCTTGGATTTAAGAAATAATATAGTTGTATTATTCCTCGGTTGTCGCACCTATGACATATTAATGAGGACTAACAAGTTCGAAACCGGTATGTGTCTGGTGTGTTCGGCTGACAAATGATTCTGTAGTGCTCGTGTAAGTTAATACTAATCGGTAGGTAGGGCAGTTGTTTTCTGCAATATTATCACTTAAAGTAAATGTGTCTTACAAATGACATATGGACCTATTCCTTAAGTAGTTGTTGAGTTAGACATATCACATACGTCCAATACGACTGCTTATAACATAGTATCACATGACATGTATACCTGTAATTTCTTTTTAATGAAAAAAAGAGAAACAGTATCAGTATCAGCGGCGACATAGGTACCAACCTTATCTTGCCGTACGTGTATAGCGCACTTTATATGGACTCTTTTTCAAGTTACAATGGAAACATTTAAAATTTCGTTACACTTTTCTATATACAAAAATGTTTCTTTAAAAGATACAGGCTGTTAAAATAGAATTATCAAATTTGTTTTCCCTTCCATGATTTTTGAGATATTAACTTCAAATTTGACACATGGAGTTACTTATTGCATTGTAATTATAATGAATTTATGGAGATATGTGCAATAATAACGAATTAAAAAAGGTTGATGTGATCCTTTATCCTCCCGAACGTTTTTTGTAGGTACGTCTATTGACGTTTTTTTAGAATTTCCACAAATTTAGAAATTTTTCATTAATTGCATAGTTTCCATGATGTCAAACGAAAAGCTTCTTTATAGGTCGTCTTAGTATTGGGGGTTGCAGGCGCATACCGTTATGATGAATTAGTCAATTTAACAATTGAAAATGTTAAAGGTGTGAAATCCGCCTTAATCATAAAAAATTCCGATACCAAAAACCAAGAGACCACGTTCTTTTACGGTGCTGGGAGACAATTATTTAAGTTTGTATCGAAAATATGTTGCTTTATGTCCACCCGGATTGGTAGAATGTAAATTATTTCTCAGATATGTGAAAAGTGTCATCGAATGGTGATCGGTATTCATAAAATCAACGCCGTCTCGCAAGAAGTGGCAACATTTTTGAAGCTGGACAACTGGAAAGAGTACACAGTGGACACGTATTACGACGAACGTCTGCTACCCTTTTAGTTGACGGCTGTGGTGGCCTCACTTGTCTTAAAAGACAAGGAGGGATGGAGATGGAGAACTGTGGCGGAAGGCTACATTGAAGACGCAATTTTGAATAAAGAAAATATTGCGAAAATAATACTGAAAGTTGATAGTGCTATTGATAAACTTGGCACTGTTGTCATTTCTGATTTCACAACATCTGAAAATAATATAACTATTAATGAAAACTGCTTTGAGAATTATTCCAAGATTGAGGGTAGTGGCAGTTTCAGTGGCTTTTTTAATTTTAATACTTGTTCAAACCGTGTATTTAATATCAATGTGGATAAACAGAAATTATTGTTAATATTCTTGAATAAACTTTTATGGATTAAAACTTGATTAATACTTTTAATCTAAGGATTAATATTAGCTCCTAGGATTAAAAATGTAAACTTTTATTGCCATTTTTTTCTCAGTAAGGAAATTGTTAACCTTAGAGACTCCTGACAGTAAAAAATTGTCATAGTTTGGAGACATCTCAATATTCTATTAAACAAACTAGAGAACCCCAAGTTCCGTCATTTCGTAAATTGGAATCACATGGACTATCCCTAAATGAACCATTTGATATAATGAATGATGTACAAAAAATATATACGATGCCAATAATATACGCCCAGTCAGTAGTACGATAAAAGAAAAAATGCAAAGAGTGTTGGAAAAAATCCAGGAAACACCATTTTGGAAAACGTAAGTAAAGTTTTATCTGGTACATATCAGAAGTTAGCAGCAAATATATTAATATATAATTCATGACTCAACAATTTATCATACTGTCCGTTGGCAACAGTAGAGGTTGCACGGTCATTTTCCCTACACAAGTTAATATTAAGTGATAAACGTCGCAGTTTCACTAAAGAAAAGAAAATCAGAAGTAATATGTTTTAACTCCTTTCAATATGCCACGGAAGCCTTGTCTCAACACAAAGGTTTATCGGGTAAGTGGTGTCATTTAAATTTATATAGGTATTTTATTCTCTACTTAGCCTTGCTCTTTGTTAAATTTTAATAATTCCAAATATTGTGAATTTTCACCACCAAGAACGGCGGTGACAACATTTTTAACATTAAGGCGATGTTTCGACATATTTTCTGTAAATATATTAATATTTTCATTCGTAATCTGACTATGGTCTTGTTACGGGTTCTCCACAGGTTTTGATAAAGAAAACTATTAACTATAAGGCATGAAATGATAGATAGGATGCTAGGAACAATATCCGGTAACTTTTTTGTTTTTTCATCAAAGTTGAATAATAAAGCCTTATAAACAAATAAAACCAGCATTTTCGTTGAAATTTCACAACTCTAAGCTGCCACTAATTGTTAAATAAATAAATTTATAAATGGAACTTACCTATCCTGTAAAATAAAGTTCAAGCTTTAAAATGAGATGTCGTGTGTCTCAATCCGTCCAATAGAACCAGAGATATGGTAAAATTGGTGCACGCGGAGACGGAAAATGTAAGATATTTGCACTAAATTTGCAATAACTTTGTTTAAAGTTAATATTTTTTTAATTAAAAAAAATATATGTTTGTTATAAGAAAACGTAACTATTAACGCATAAAAAATTGTACTAGTTACAAAAATAAACTTTTGACAGCCATTTAAACATTGAATTTGTTAATAATAATTAAACTGACCACTTTCAGGCTTTCCGACCAAGTTGTTTAGATTCAGGAGGTCAAAATACTTAAAAATAAGTTGTTTGCAGCCGTTGCACTCTGATTGACCACCTATCTGGCTCCTAGTCTATATTGGGTTGTGTATAGAACTTCATTTAACAACAATTTAGTAATATTTTTAGAACTTATTTGAATTATTTTAGCTTTAAGGTAAAGATACGTCTTAAAAAATAGAACGGACAAGCTAATGTTAAGTAATGCAAATATTTCAACTCGAATGAATGGTAAACGTTTACCTTGTCCAAGGAATTGAAATCCTATAATGCTTAGCCTCTGATATCGCTACATAAAACGCATCATTTAAGATATTATTGTAGGTATCACAAGCGTCGTCTGCAGTGTCATTATTTTTTATATGCGATGGATTATTGTGGATCCAGTGATCCCATATATTCTCAGATTTTCCGTCTTCATTCCAGGCACCTTCGATCTGGTAAGCAGATGATCTCGTGCCAAATGAGAACGTTTCAGGAAACATTCTGGTATTTTCTGCATTTACCATGCTGAAATAAAGATGCAGAGATATATCAAGTCACATATAAATTAAAATAGTGTTCCTCCAAATAATCGTATTATTCAATTTGCAGAAATGCATCGATACTAGCTGCACTACCAATCAGCTAAGCGCAACGTTATTGTTATTGTTGGAGAAACCCAACTTAGTATTAATTTATATGTTTTAATGTACTCAGAGTGACCGGTGAATTGCGGACGACCCTGTATAAATTGGCAAATTTATTTCATACTCCATAAAAACCTCAACTATGCCAAGGTTTTTTTTTGTAGTCGTCTCGCCATGCACCGCATCACAGGGCGAGAGGGCAAGGGAAGAGTAGCTAGGTTCTAGGTTAGGGAGAATTAGTATGTTTTGAGTATTCACGCAGACAGGTTGACGCCCGTGCCAGTAAACTATTGCAAATTTGAGTTATTGTTGAGACGTTTTTATAGCAACATTTATATTGCACAAATAAATGTAATTATATTTCCAACGGACAGAGTTTAATTATTCCTCTAAAATTAGTACAGTCCACAACTCTGCTTTCGAAGCTGTATAACTGGAATGCAGGATTCGAACCTTACAGTTATTATGAACAATTTTTACTATATGCAAATAACCAATACTTTTGCTATTGCTATAATCTAAAAAAGTTTTCAGTTTTCAGTTTTTATTTATAAGTAGGTTGGTAGTTTTCTGTGAAATAATAACTCTCTTTTAACTCAGTTTTAGAGAGTAAAACTTGTTTGCTGAAATTTGATTTTATTGTTGAAATTGATTGAAGTAATTACATAGTATGAGTGTAAGAGGTCTGTTCAGAAAATAAGCAAACTTTTTTAATTATGCGCTAATGGGATATCTAGTGATAAGCGGTTGGCAACATTGCGTTGCGCATAACCCCTTCTGTGATCACATGTTCTTGGATTGTTGATATGCCATTTAGTTTTCGTGATATTGTTATTTAAGTGTGTTTTAGGGAACGTTTCAACTTTTGAAACAAGCTTACGGAGATGATGCTCTAGGTAGTATGCAATGTAACGAATGGTTTTCACGATTTAAAAGTGGTCGTCAGCCAGTTGGATGATCCTCTGTCAGGAAATTACAGGAGAGATTAGAATCTCAATTGGGTCATGCCATGCAGCAAAATTTGTTCCTCGTTTGATGACCGAACAACCAGAAAGAAAATCTTGTGGATATTTGTGGACAACTCTTTGAACAATCCAATGACGATGAAATATTCATTCAAAGGATCATAACAGGAGATGACAGCTGGGTTTACGGCTATGACATTGACACAAAAGTTCAGTCATCACGTTGGATTGGCAAAGGATTTCCACGCCACGCCTCAAAAAAGCACGGCAATCTCGATGCAATGTGAAAGTGATGCTCACTGTTTTTTCTTCGACTTTATAGACCAGGCAAATTAGACAATAAATCAGCAATTTTTTTCTGATGAACCGATCGAGTTGCGGTTTTCGACATTGTCTTCGGAAAAATATCAGGAAAAAAGTCTATATATTACACTTTGGGGCTGGATCGAAACTGCATTGCGGGTGCATAAAGTGCATCTTTGAGTGCATCAATTTTCTAAAAATAGTAAAAATTGACTAAAAGTTGTAGAAATTAGGTTTTCGGGGTTGGAGATTCCGAATCTGACCCTGAAAAATATGCCTGAAGGCCCTGGGGCTCTCCAGTGGGGCAAGGGGGAGCTTTCTGTATAACATCGAATAGCTGAGTAATTGCCTTCTAAATCCCCACTCGGGGGTTTTTAGGGTCAAGGATTTCGATTCTGACAGTGAAACGTATGTCCAACGCCCCTGGGGCCCCCCCAGGGGGCAGGGGGGGCTTCTGTAAAACACCGAATAGCTGAGTACCTAATTGCCTTCTAAATTTCCACTCGGGGATTTTTGGGGTCGAGGATTTCAATTCTGACACTGATAAGTATGCCCGACGCCCCTGGAGCCCCCAGGGGGGGGGCAAGGGGGGGGCTTCTGTAAAACATCGAATAGCTGAGTAATTCTTCTAAATTTCCACTCGGGGGTTTTTGGGGTCGGGAATTCCGATTCTGACACTAAAAAGTATGCACGACGCCCGTGGGGTGGGCTTTCTGGAAAACATCGAAAGGCAGACTTTTGTAATAAAACTGCTCCATCCGCTTACCAACCACGATCTTGTAGGCTTATCTTTACATTGTAACACACGCAAATTTACAGAGATTAGACAAGAAGGGTAAGAAAAACTAACAGGAAATTAATGAGTCGAAGAGAATCCACTTTATTCTGAGAATCAATTTTCTTTTTATTTGCAAGGCAATTAGTGAGACAACTAATATCATATGTTTATCTAACACTTTCACTATCAATCACAATTTTCGACTATTTCAGGATTGGAACAGTTGTGCATGTAATTCCATGCTTCCTGCACCCACAAGATCTGCATTGTCGACAATCGGATTTTGTCGCCTAATTGTTATGCATTATCCGCAGTCGCACGGGCCCAAGAGATTCTTTTGAAAATCCATGATTCATGAAATATTCTTCAGTTTTAAGGAATATTTCTTTGATTTAACGAAATGTGTCTCTTGGGAACGGATTGTCCAGGACTTCTCCAATTCTACGACAATTTTTCTCAGTGTTAGACAAGCTCAGATTAATGGATATTTTCCAGTGTCAGATTCGGAATCCCCGACCCCGAAAACCCCCGAGTAGAAATTTAGAAGGCAATTACTCAGCTATTCGGTGTTTTACAGAAGGCCCCCCGCTTGCCCCCCTGGGGGGCCCCAGGGCCGTTGGGTATATTTTTCAGGGCCAAAAAACACGTGCACACAAATTTCTACAACTTTTAGTCAATTTTTACCATTTTTAGAAAATTTGGAAAAATTGATGCACTCCATGATGCACTTTATGCATCCGCAATGCAGTTTCGATCCAGCCCCAAAGTGTAATATATAGACTTTTTTCCTGATATTTTTCCGAAGACAATGCCGAAAACCGCAACTCGATGGGTTCATCAGAAAAAAATTGCCGTATTCTGGGTGATTTTGGTCTAACTTGCCTGGACTATTTAATGGAATTCTGCATTTTCAATTCTTGCCTCAACGTGAAACAGTGAACCGTGTGTACTATCAAGGCGTTTTACAACGGTTACGTGAGAAAATCCGCAAAAAGAGACCAGAGTTATGTGGAGAAAACTCATGGTTTTTGCACCATGACAATCCGCCCGCACACTCAGCTTTGTCAATTCGGCAATTTGTGTCAAAAATCAGATTACTTTCCTCCCTTACCTTCTTTACTCGCCAGACCCGGCTCCTTGCAACTTTTTTTAATTTCCGATATTAAAATCAGTGCTAAAAGGACGCGTTTTCAGACGATTGATGGCATCAAAGTAAATTGGTCGCAGACTTTAAAGGCCATTTCAAATGAAGCTCTGCAGGACTGTCTTGCTGGGAAAAGTGTGTGGAGAGGGGAGTACTTTGAAGGAGACTAGGATAAATAATGTATGAAATTAATAAAAAAAAGTTTGGGTATTTTCTGAATAGACTTCGTAAATTGTAATATGTTTGTCAACATATTTTTAATCAGATTGTACAGCTCACGCACTTGCTCGAGCTGGCGGTGGTGCGAAGCTACCATCCGTGGGATTATGATTGGTACATCACTTCCAATGAAAATGGATTACATTGCTTTAAACACTGATGACAATTATAATGCTCATTACCGTAATTTAATTGATTGTCTAATGTATACTACATTGTGCACACGTCCTGATTTGTGTACAACAGCTAATTTAGTAGGTAAGCATATACCAAAATAAAAACAATAAATTGTTATGTCAATATCTCAAGCGAGTTTGTAGGTCCTCTGTAAAAATTTTGAGTAAATTTTCACTCAATATCAACACTGTTTTTTGTTAACGCGAGTCCACAGCCAATTGTGTTCAAATAATATATTCGTTTAGTAATCAACTATTTGTTAACTACAAAATAGATCTTACATTAGATTGCTACCATTAGACAACTTTTGAGTAAACTAATATAATAACATGTGTGTTATGTTGGTATACTACACGTAATAGTAACTAAAATCGATTCTTGATTACGAGGAAGTTAACGTATTTGTTGTGTGACATCAGCTTTGTACACAACTTAGTATTCCCACTACTCCGAAATGTGGAATATTAACTAATGGAGTGTTTTAAGTATGTTCTCATTTTCATAGATTTTAGTTCTTCTAACTAAAAATTGTGTTAGAAAGCTTTGTTAAAATCCTAATTTCACTCTAAATTCAACACTGAAATAATTTCACTCACAAATAGCACTATGTTACTTTTTACTGTTGTTTTCCTTCTGCACATCCTAAAATCAGTGATCAGTAACGTAATTTCCTGAATTTTTCTTGGAAAAAAAAATATCTAAAGATAAGTCTTAAACAGTAAAAAGTAACATAGTGTTATTTGTGAGTGAAATTATTTTAGTGTTGAATTTAGAGTGAAATTAGGATTTTAACAAAGAAATGAGCTTTCTTTTTCCAAGAAAAATTCAGGAAATTACGTTACTGATCACTGATTTTAGGATGTGCAGAAGGAAAACAATCCATGCACAAGATTAAGTTCTATTTTCGGGATATTGCCATTAAACAAACTGGTTCATGAATTATTATCCTAAACAACTATTTAAATTTAAATTTATTTGTATATGCAATTTAATGTATAATTTTAATTTGTAAATGTTGAAAAGTTCATAACTCTATCTATTATGGTATTTGATTATTTGTTCTCACAATTATAAGAGTAATAATTATAATGTAGAGTCAAAATTGAATTCTTAGAATAATTGGCTATCTTCAACTTGTTACGAATGTTTCATTTCTAATTAAAAAAAAAATTGAGACGAGATGTTAAAATGAGAATTTTTGATTAGGTGTATATTTTAGTATGGGTTAAAATTAGATTTTAAAGTATTTTTCTAAGACGTTTTTTGGATT